CAAGCTGCGTTGTAGCTGCGATATATGTATGGGCAAATGGATGTCCTTCAATTCGCCATTAACTATGAATTATATAAGCTTTTACGTAAAAAGTTGCAAGTTTGTTCCAAATTGAACGTGGTTTATAAATAAAATGAGGGCAAATCTCGCTGAACGCACAAAGGTTCCGAAATGGAATTTAACCCGTTCATTGTGAAACACATACCCAAGTTGTGTTTACAAATTACGACGGCAAATATATATTGCTATTAGAGTCAATCAAAAGTGTACATGCATTATGTAACTAAAAAACAATATTACAGCATTTATGATCTCACAAGTAAGGTAGGACATTAAGTAAGTTCTTCCTTTCTGCTATCAAATAAGACATTAGACTACCCTTGCTATTAGATTACAGTGTATAAAACATTACTATGGAAGATTGCGCTTCAGCGGTAGCAGCTGCGGATTCCTGCTTAGTAGAGATAAAGATTATTCTTCTCAAACATCAGCAGAGCAATTGTTTGCAATGCCTTTGTTTAATAAGCCTGTCTGTGCCGGTATTTACATATAATTGGTAATGAACTCAAAGTTAATTACTTATAGTCTGGCGTAGAATAATTGCCACATACAAATGGTTCATTGGATTAGATATGATAAAGAAGAAATACCTTAACTGCATGCTGTAACCTGTCCATATTTTTTCGGACCATACATTTTCTACTCTAATTTATAATACTATGAAGCAGATATACTTACCACATTCTGTTTATTGTTAAAGCTATTTATTTGTTCTGATAGTCGCTTCTCTGTTGGTATTTGCTCCCACAAAGAAGTTAGGTATGATTTAGAAGTTTCAGTCTGTGTGAGGTTCCTTTTGACATTATTCTCGAATTCTTGGCAGCTGCTGGTTTGAAGACGCAATTATTATCGCACTGATGATTGAAAGATGTCTCCTCAAATGTCTGACTAAATGGATGCAGTAAACGATAACGATTATATTAACACTCTATTAAAGTATTCACCATTACCAGCTTGGCAAATACTAGTTGGACATTTTTCATAGACAAAAATTTTGTGTATTTAGTTTTTTGTTAATCAGACAAATTAGTTGGACTATAGTAAGCATCGCCGTGGAATGTCCCATTTATTAACTTATTAATGTTTGTGCCATAGTCAGGATAATTTCGTACGATAGTTTTGGATAGCTCTTGTTTCTTCCCTTTAGAGAGGAAAAGTTAATGATACACCTAGGTCTTGCAATTTTGCGTCTTGATCGATAAGTTAAAGGATTTCTCGAAGATAGCATAAACAATTCCTTTAGGAAACTAAGTAATGTTTTCTGCTGCAAATAAGTTCCATTAAATGCTAGATACTATCCTAGAATAACGTGCTAAGCACTTGATTAACTATGCGACTGTGGTTAAAGACTGAATGCAGCAGTTTATAAAGGACAAGACAAAATAATACTCTTATTAAGCCTCCGTGAAAATGGGTGTGCATTTAGGGTAACATTTTGGACTTCATCTACCCATCCTCTTTAATAGTTCATTAATATAAAAACATCAGTCGGCAAGACGAAGCTAAAAAATGTATCATTGATATAAAAAGTCAAAAACCTCGTAAATCATTTTCTAAAGCTGCACCGCTGACTGTTATTTCTTTTACAAACTTTAATTTTCATTTAGCATTAAGCCAACATGTTACATTTAAACTAAAACTAGGTGTTTAAAAGTTTGTATACAGGTAAACGATAGCCAGACCTCCGACTAATTGCTTCGCATTTACTTGCTAAGATTCCCAAAATGTTTGGGGAAAGTACAGTTGATGAGATGGAACACCAAACAGGTGAACAACTGCAGCCAGTATGACCAATCTTATTTATTGTTCAGCAGTGATTTCTCCTACAAAAATAAAGGTGAACATTGACCGATCTAGAAAGTAGGAATGCTGCAAGAAGTACCACAATTAACTACATTAAGGTGAATTGCAAACAGATTGTAATATATATATCAGGGATTATTTGAAGGATATTCATTCCCAGTGCCCTTTTGCCTGACATGATCTGTCAAATTAAATTGCATAAATTTAATATGCGGCGGCCAGTATTATTCTAAATAATCTTACTTCACTCATTCTAGGATGCACATGGTAAATATATGACCATGCTCTCATAAGTACAATCTTTAGAATTTGCCTAGAATAAATGATGCATGACAATTTAACTTAGGTACCTTTTATATAAAAGGCAGTTTTGCTACATACTTTTGTTTGAATAAAGTTCTCTTTAAGGCATAGATGAATCGCCTTTCCATCTGCTTGTAGATATTGCAATACCAGACCCAAAATGATCCTTACATTAAAAGTATTAATACTAACGTAATCGGAAATGCTTTAAAAATTAACATAGGCTTTGTTCAGGTAATTTAATAATTTCCTATTACATTGGTTACATATGATGGAACTTACAGACCTATGGTTTACTTTTTTACTTACTATTGTCATACCAAATTTGAGCCAGTGATATTTTAAAGGAAATTGTAAGCATTGTCTAGTACCTGGACCACACTATATTCTGCACTCCTACAGTATTTGCGCTTGCCAGGAATTGTTTTACAAGTACTGCATCAGAGCTCCCAGTTAAGCTATTACCATGGCAACTCGAGTTGACATTTTAGTATATTGAAGCGTACGTGCATATGAAACTACAAAATGCATTATTAAGTAAGAACTTGCTTTGAAAAAGCAACGCATAATTCAGAACATTGAATGCTTGTAAGCCGAAGATATGTGTACTTTGCGAAAAATGTGAGGATATGGGTGCGAAAATAATTTTTTCTTGAGTTCACTTCAAATGGCCCTTAGGATATAAGGTTTTGTGTTTAGTAACGACGCAGTAAAAGCACATATATAAAGACTTCAACGTACATACTGTTAGTTTAGATTAGGTGCTCGAAGCGGGCAAAGTAATTCTAGCTTCATATTTAGCAGCTTTACTATAAAATTTACTTTACACAACTGATTTGCTAATGAATGTTCCAATAAAGACATCCATGCAGTAAGTTTCCTGCAAAAAATTCTACCCGAAAGCTTCGAAACTGCAAAAATAATCTACCATGCTATGCAACATACTACCCATAGATTTATGTTTATAATGCAATTTGCATGTCACAAAGCAATACAGCAGAATGACTAAAATGGTTTTGTCCACTCGATGCACTGGAAGACACTTCTAACCCTTCGTTTCTGGATAACTTGTCTTATAATGAAGCATTTTGCCTCTGGTCTACTTCGCTCAAAATACCAGTTGCTATATATTCAGACTATGAAACTAATGGTGACTATTTGCTTAAACGTTCCTTCTGACATCGAGTTATTACATCATTTGCTTAGTTAGTTTGTTACCGAATGTGAATATAAATAAATAAATGCCAACATCCTAGTAAACCTTACGACCCTATAAATACGGCTTGATTCATCGATAGACGGCCAAAGAATTTTTGTATGTGCTTTTTAAAGTAGCAAACTTTTATCGACCGCTACTGGAAAGAATCCCAAAAATACGCTTGTTACGAAGTAAGCCCTTTCAGAAACTGTGGATGTTTGAATATAAATGCTTCAGGAGTTGTCACTTCATCTGCATGATAGCGTTAATTCATCATACTTGTATTTGCGAAATTTAGGCAACTGGAATTTCACTAATAATTACAGTTTAATCCAAACAGTCTGAAGCTTAAAAAGAGTAATTATCACTTCATAAACGAAAGCCTTTTAAACGCAGAGATTACTATTCAGCTGCTTAATCTTCTCAGCACTTAGTGACACACATTTAGTAGTAACTTTGGTAATAATTTTATTCTGGCTTACTGCAAGTATAATGTATGGACTCTGGAAAGATTCGAGTAAAGATGGTTACACTCCACCTAAACGGTGGTCCATCTGATATTCTGAAACACCCGACATTAATGATATTACATGCCAAGCAGCCAAATCTTACTGCAATTTTAGTAAAGATTTAGGTTCAGATAGAAGACGTAATGCATGCAGTGTCACTAACAGAAATTTTCTTAGTATAGATCGTTTTGCTGGGCTACTAGTTTGATAAAGTGCTGAATGCGTTATTCTTACTAGATAAATACGGAAGTTCAGCCATTAATGTCAACATGCAGTGAAAAACAAACTTCAGTCCATGTAATCTGTATTGCATTAAGTACAACCACCGACATATCAAGCCATGTCGACCCGAGGATCATCGTTGGAAGACCGTTGCAAAACACTAGTAATCTACCACTTCTCTCTACTTCCGGGGCGGGTCGACCTCATCTTATCCTATCGCATAGTGCATCACTGCGATTTCTCACGCTGAGGCCGCTGCTTCACTTGCGAACTACATGCAGGCCACGCAGATATTGATAAACGCTCGTAGTGCCGCATATAAATTAAGTACCATACCCCTTTGAACGAAGTGGTAAATGATTAGATCACTCCAACAGAATCTGTCCTGGAAGCCAGATATGTGCAGCAGTTTAAAACTCTGTGGATTTACAACTCACTATTTGATTCTCAGAACAAGGGAACACCAGCACTGATGTCTTACATTTGAGCTCAGTGTATCAGTAAATCAGCCATTATTATGCTACGCAGGAAGGTGAAGAACGATACGACTATCACAGATAAATGATAGGTTTTTAATACCTTTGACTATATTTTGATTTTAATTCTTACTTGCAAAAGTTGCAGTGTGTACAACCTTTCGTAATCATGTTTAAACTCCCTGAACAATCATGTACTGATTCAAACTTAACTCACAGTTTTGATTAAATTAATTAAACGTGTCACTTGGCACAAGTACCGATTACATGTTTTATACTTGTTAGTTATTCAAGTTACATTCAGCATAAATTTTAACATGTGGCTTTGCCAAATGATATCTTTGAGACTATCTTGCAACTATTTATGGAAGTCTACTAATGCAGCAAAATATAATTGGTAAATATAATAAATATCGGCTTTTATCTTACCCGTCAGTAGGTCGGTCACAAAGGGAACATTGGAGCTAGTGGGAACTACATTGGTTGTTGCATTGCTATCACTGGTCGGACTGAAGCCAATCGGCAATGCTAAGTTTCCATCCGTAGGTACGTAGTTTGCGTGGATTCCATAGGCTCTCGCGAATTGACTTGGAGTTGCAGCTGAATGTATAGCATTCGAAGATTGCTGCATCAAACAAAGAAAAATATGCTGCATTGTTTTGTACAGTTTTAGCGTGCATGAAACATATTTTCTTTTTCCGGTATAAATTATCTGCATAGAAATTATTGGCATAGTAATAACACACAATTCTCGTATTTGTATTTCTCCATATGCTGCAAGTTTTGAGTAGAGCAGTTAGGTGAATAAATAATTGCAGTATCTGATTTTCAAGGAAAAATCAGTTTGTCAGAAAAGCTAAGAAATGAGTTAGTGGGCGAATTAGGTCCAGTGTACGATTGACAGGCTGTTTACTATGGGTAAATATTGACACCATGAACCTTTACGTCTTACAATAAACTAATCAGGTCCATAACGGCCGATAAACTAAATAAGCGAAAAAAACATAATCTGCTGCATGCCTAACGGTGGTGCTGTACTGGAATGTCCGTGATTTAGTTAGTTTGTAATTCACTTGGTGGATTGTAAACAGCCCTACATTTGTAATCATTTATCATAGAATTAAATCGGACAAGTAGGAATGTTGTTCAGCGTATGCTAGTTCGTGTATTTCTACCAGATGCCCGTTCTTTGTTACACAGCTCATTTGTTTGGCTTCAGCCAACTAACCAGTCAAAAAATATTTCTCATTTTAGTTTTACGATTAATTACTGTTGATTTTCTATTTACCACAGTCGACAAGTATTGCTGCTTTTTAAATCAGCATAATTAATTAAGTGACTTAATTCATCTCGTTTAGTTTCCACTTATGTTAATCCTATAGCTGAATTGTAATGTTTACTTGCTTAGCATGGTGCCATCACTACGTTTATGACACTATCCACAATAAACGGTATACAGTTAAATTCTGGCAGAATAACTGCGCACGTTTTCTAATCAGTCATTTAAGTATTCAAGCATATACTACTATTTTGCTGCGGTCATATACGTAGGCCTAATAAGTACCTATACAACGATCTTGTTCTATCTCAAAGGATTGCATTTGCTGAAAACCATGTATTTACTGTGCGATAAAGCAGTCTACAAACTGATCTTTTTATAAGTTCAATCCATGTATGATCCTAAACTACAGCTGTGTTTTCTCAATCTCCATGATTATAAGATATTTAATGGACCGGAATGACTTCAAATATTTTGCGTCCTTTAATACTTCCTATGCACTAATTAAGTTAGGAGTAGTTAAACCACTTTTACTTTACATTCTTGTTAAGGCTAAAAATGACGCAAAGCATCACAGAGGTCCTGGATAAACTATGAGCACCCTATATATTATATGACTGGTCACGGGAATTATTGAATGGTATTCCACGACGGTTGTGTGCTTTGTTTTCATAGGCGTCATAAACTCACTGCGTACAACATATACTAATCCATGCGGTTCTTTTAAATAGAAATTGCCATTCAGTAAAACTGCAATCCCTTGGCTTTTGAGTCCAGGTTTTACGTAGCTCTTTCGGTAAGTGCCCTATATATTCTGTAGTCTGGACAACTAAATACGAGACGGCAACTGACGGCGAAAGTAGAAACACTGCATTGATTTAGGTACTTCAGTCTGGAATGTAGTAACGGAAATACTGCTAAATAGAACACAAATGTTACGTTTTAGTGAAAGATAGCGTTAATAGTCGAGTCATATTTTATTTGTCTTGTGTCATAACTATTCCCTTAAATCTACTAGCACTAATTAAACTTTCTATTAAATCACTATTTTCATAACGTGTAATGCCAAAGCCATGCTTACCAACGTTGTGGCTTGGTTGTATTTTAGTCGCTGGTTTAAATTGTCTGTTCGCCAGAAGCATGTTGGCCTTATCTGGCAGTTTTACATTGTCACACAAGCGAAGCGAGTATAACTAACTTACGTAACCTTTTGTAGGATAAATTGACAACAATTTTTACAGTGTTTCTAATAATCCGTCAACTTACGATCCATTTTGATAAAGCGCAACCGCTATGTAGTCGTGATGATGACAGGTGTGTTTAATACTTTTCGAATGGGTTACCCATTTACATCTCAAATAGGACTTTGGAAACAAAACATCTACCACCCGCATATGTGAGCAATTACGCAATAATTACCGATGGTTATCTTTTGTTGTCCCTATAAAAAGCATGTATTGTCTATGTAAACTAATAAATTTGTAACCATTTTCCCTGTTGCTTTAAATTGCACTGTTCATTGGTATGTTGGTTTGCTTCTAGCGCTATGTTAAGTAACACTGGCATTGTCTAGTAAGCCTCTTAAAATTAAATGCTTTTACATAGCTGACATACATCTACAGTTCTACAATTAATTTTATCAAAAGTTGAACTACTCACCTAGCATTCAGAATCATTTTGCTGTAATTTGATGTACTACCGGCACTCATAAAATGCCGGTTTCAGAACATGTTCCCTCAGGAACAAGTGTTTATAAAACAGCGTGTTCTCAGCGAACATTGCAGTGTTTGTCAGAGCACACACTTCAAAGTATCTTGATTTTTAATATCCAAAATTAATACCCTTAGGCTTCAACGAGTTTCCACTTTTGCAATAGTTTAACGAGTTTTAGCCATTCGATCGTCGGAAATTTTCCGTCTTATGATCTAATAATTTTTATGCGTACCCCATTGATGGTCTAGCTTTGATAGGATACTCCCATCACAGTAGCCACAGGCTTTCCCAGACCAGAGTAGGTGCACCTTTTTCGCTGCGCTACATTTGTTATTAAGTAAAAAAATTAATAGCACCAACCAGGTTTTACTGATTCACATAACTGTTGCTGTGTTGGCACCGACCAATCTATACACAATATCCATGATTTTGCATTGGCGCTAGGCATAGACGAAATATTTGGACCAATGTTTCATGTAAGTTCATTTCCCTAGTCGGCAGAGGCGAATGCCTAGCTTTGGAAAAATTAATGTGCTGATACTTTGGGCCTCTCTTAACAGATCAAATCTAGGGACCTATTCCAACGTGAATATAAATTGTGGTATTTAAATGAAGCTAATTGTGTTTTGAAATAAAGCGTTCTTAAATTTTAGTATGTTATGAGTGTGATTTGTATTTTATTCCACTGACGGGTCTGGCTGACCAGTAGAAGTTCTAGCGTATATTTATTCACAGTGGTATATTCAGTGTAAAATCTTTATAATGAAGCTGTCGTTTGATTTATTAAGAGTGTAGTTAGATCAGAATAGTTCTTTGTTTGTGGCAGGTAAAAGGTAGCAACATAGCTTGCGTTAATAGTCGAAACCAAATTTGTTTGATTTGAAGTTCGTTGCAACTTTCTCGATAAACCAGAGCAGAACGCTAACCAGACAAATGGTTATAAGAATAACCTCTGCAGGTGCTTCAGGGTGGTTCTCTCACTTTCCCCATAATGCCATTTACCACGATGGTGTATTCATGAACAGAACGTTGCAATTCTTTTAGAAAGCTCAACTATAGCACAAGTTGCATGGATCTTGTTGGATTTATTGAATACAGATCAGTGTTAGAGAAAATAATTTCATCGTTTCCTAGCACTAAATGATACCTTTTTTGTTCAACTGATCCTTAAGCACTTATGACTTGTTAATTAAAAGTGGTTTGCAGTATTCTTGCACTTAAACATGATGTTCAAATAGCTCAAGTAGACTGCATAAATTCAATGTCTAATCAGTATTTGTTGTTATATTTTGAGTGATTGTTAGCTCCTGATTATCAGTTTGCGTACATGCTAATTTACGTTTCTTTTTTGTACATTACTTTGATTACATCCATATTATTAATCCGACCAACAAACTAGATAAAATTCTTTTGTTATCTTTTTGTTTATAAGTACAATTTGGTTATGAGTTTTGGTTTACAAACCATAGACCCTAAACCTCCTATGGTTCAGAATATAACAATCGACCACGCCTCGGATTGAGACACCCATTTTTTGATCATGTCAACGTAACCAGAAGTGCAACGAAGATTAATGCTTGCCAGAGAATAATAGGCGAAATCCACCTTTTCAGATAATTGTGCATATGACTCGACTGCGAGCGAGTTCAAACCAGGATGATCCACGTGAATCAAATCGCAACTTTGATTTGGTCCCTGAAATATTCCGCCATTTTCCTACTATTAACGAGCGTGACGGGTACTTTCCGGTCATAAGAAAACGTTATATGGACAAATAGTATATTTCTTTAACATTTTATCATATTTACACATTGGTGACAAACTACATGGACTTAGTTAATTGCGTACAACCTAATACCTTAAAGATCTTTTAAAAGTATTTGCCACTTGACCATTAACGACTTTGGGCTCTTGTACAGTGGGCTCATAGATGGTGGTATTCAACGGATATGTTTAGTAATCTTTTATTTATTTTTCACCTTGCATCCCTGTTGCATATTTTAGATTGCATGCAGTTAAGGAACATAAATAAGTAAATAAATATTTTATTATTGACAAAGCGAGGCACGCGTTTTGGGCATTATCGGAATGAAAACTAAAATTTATCGAGGATTGGAAATACAGCAATGCATGTATCTATTATTAAAATACCTCTGTCAAGCTTACTTCCTTTGCGTTTAAATGAATTGGTACACCCGGCTGGATCATAGTTGAAAACAATGGAGAATTTTGGCACAAGCTTGGCTGGCTCACAGTTGCAAGTTTTGGCCGGTATGGAATCACGGAACCTTTAATAGGCGACTGCGAAAAACGATTTGTGAGAAGATAAGCGCATACTTGTAAGCAAAAGTATTTGATACCAGGATGAATCCAAATGACGTATATAAAACAGCAGCGTAAGTAAACTTTATGGTTAGTTAGTAAGGAATAGCAAGCAAAATTATGCTTTACAGAAGAAATATTCAACGTTGCGTTCAGCATTTCTGACAGTAAATGGAAACTAGCTCGTACAATATTAATAATCTTAAAAAACGCTATAATGCTTTATAATTAAACATTTTAATTGAAAATGTAGTACCAGCTGAGCAGAGTTGATATTAATCTGCAAGAATACATATGAACTCATCTCTAGTAGCCAATGCTCCTTGAATTCCATTGACACGGAAAAATAAACTACCTCTAGAAAAATTTCACAGAGATGTCGAATGCATTTAGCTATTGCCTTCGCTGTTCCTGATACTGTGACGGTTCTCTCTGTTGAACCAGGCAGAGCTTCGCTTGCAACCTGGATTGAGGCGCCAGTCAACTAAAAAGTTGTAAACAAGGCATGAGCAATGGTGTGTCAGTCCTGCGAAAAATTCATATCAGCTTTTGTGCTACAGCAGAACCTTAATTCTTATAGAAAACCTTTTAAGACCATCACTGTTTCACGTTCACAACTAATATTCGTTTCACTGTCGTTCGCGCATGTGCAGGAATTCTAATGTTCTCAATATCTTAGTGTTAGTTGATATAAAATATCCCTAAATGCTGCCATCAAATTCAGCAAATAAGTTAACCCATCGATGGCAACGTTGCTTTCTTTCAGCCAATGACATAAATGTTGATCTCTTCAGCGTTATCATTTGGCACAACCCTCCTCAAACGCAATGCTCATGGCCTAAAATGTTGATATTTATTAAGGAAGGTTGGAAGAATAATTTACTTAAGTTTTCTTGACTGCCTTGTCTCGTTTTGGTTAGCTTCTACTAAGTCAAGGAGTGATTTTTGCAATTGAGGACCTAACTGTTACGTTCTCTTTCAATTTTGTAAATTGTTAATATTTATTTTATTTTGTTGACTACCCAATTACCTCCGCCGAGCAGAGCTATCATATATGTTCTGATATGATTTCCAAAATTTTTAGGACTATCATTTGCATTAAGGTATTCCGCAACCCTTATGTTATAAATAACATAAGAAAATTTTTCATCGCGTCGTCATTAATATCTGCACAGTAATCTGCGGCAAAAAATCGGTGAAGCATATATTATATAAGGTAAAATATGCAAAATAGACAATTAGTTATATAAAGAAATACTGCTTCATTTTTACTCTAACAATAGCGAAGTAATTACCAGCAATTTACAGCTTTTTTGAGTAATTTTTGAAAACAAATTTACCCACGTTTAATTTACACGGAAGTTTCAACTTATTTTTGTCTCTATCCAGACGGACGACGTAATAATCAATCACCGTATTGTACATTTTCGAGTAGTCACCCGGATTCCTACGCGAATCAGGATCAACAGGTTTCTTGTGGTTCGGGCGCACCCAACCTTTCCTACCGTGGCCTGAGCGTAGCCTTTACTAACATCTGCAGTCTGATGAACAAATGCGATGAGCTGTATTACTTTGTAACCTCTCAGTGGCCAGACGTTCTAGCCCTTGCTGAGATATGGTTGAAGGTCGACGTAAACGCCAAAGAAGTGGAAATCGGTGCCTACTCGTGGTTTCGCTTTGATCAATTAACAAATGATCGCGGTGGCCTTCCACTTTACATAAAATCTTTCTTGTGTGTGAGATTATTGAGCGCTTACCGAAGCACTGATGGTCAATGTGAGCAGTTATTGTGTTAGATTCACCTCAGACTCTACGAGCTGCTCGTGGCTGTAGTATACCGCCGTCCACTGAGACGCTGCTTAGATTGGTTCCCGCATATCCGCAACCACATGAGTCGTCAGCTGTTCCTACTCATGGACGATTTCCACTTACCCCGAATACGGTTGCCTGGGGCTGAATTTCTCTCTGGCCACTGTGAAGTCAATAGGAAGTTTACGGATTTGATAATTGAAACCGGGGCCACACAGTACATCAACCAACCAACGCGCATAACTGCGCGCGACTCCATCGTGTTTAGACCTGCTTTTAACCAGCCATGAGCAATGTGTGCATTGCATTCACATCTTGGAGCCCCTGGGAGCGGGTGACCACACGATGATCATTCCCAGCTTGGAACTGCTACTGACGTATTCTCCCCCGCTGGAGCCAGCCTTCAACTATTGTAAGGCGAAAATTAATGGCTTCGTTGGAGCAGCTAGCCAGATGGAATGGTTGTTACCAGAAGATTATTCTATTGCAACGTGTTAAAATATCATTAAAGATGGAGTGAAATCCTTGTGCTCCCGATCTGTACCCCTCAAGTATCGGTAAGTTAAGCCAGTCAAACCACATAGGTTCGAAAAGGAGTACAGCAAACTGGCCTGACGACGACGCAGACTATGGAACAAATTCGTGTTATATGGTTCTATTAGGACTTCAAGGCGTACAAGGTAAAGTAAAATCGTTGCAAAAACGCGAAAACAAAAATCGCAAGAGCTTCGAAGGGCAGCTTGTAGTTGCCACAAAAACTGCTTCCAAGTGTATCTTCGCCTACGTAAAGCGGCGCCTGAGGCCTGAACCCAACGTGAAAGTGTTGGAAGGCTCAAATGGACTGCCCTTAACCTGCAGCACAGATTGCACGTCCGCGTTGGCTTCGCTTTTCACCTCCTTATTTAAAAGTGACTAGGTGCCTGTAACGAGTTCGACGAATACCGCTGCCGATAAACTAGACAGCTTGGACTGCAGCATTGATGATGTACACAAGCTTCTGGCAAGCCTTGACAAGAAGAAGCCTGCTACGCCAGATGGAATCAATCCACTGATTCTCAAGCAGATATCAGTCATCCTCTCGCCTTCTTCAACTGACCTGTTCAACAGGTAACAATCCAATGTACTATTAGCTGGCGACTGAAAATGCTAAGTTGTAAAGCCAATACAGAAAGACAGTAACAAAATTAAATGGGATAAATACCGGCAGATCGGCCTGACCAATATTTGGCAAAGATCCTCGAGAAGATCGTGAAAAACCGTCGTCTGCAGGTTTTCATGTCCAAGGCCACTTCAAGCCAGCACAGCTTAGTATCGCGAAAGGTGGCTCGCGCGACATCGACAAACAAGTAACGACGCACAAATAATTATAAGCGTTGAACAAAGGAAAAATAGTCGAACTAATTTACAATGATTTCAGCAAGGCTTTAAATAAGGTAAATCATACAGTGCTACTCGACAGATTACGGTTGTGCATGGTTGGCGGCTAGCTTCACAAATAGATACAGAATAAATCAAGAACAAGAGACCAAGGATAATTGTATTGATGAATTCATCGTTAGCGATTTACAAGCATGTGCGTACAACAGCAATGGGAGTAACAGTGGTTTCAATCAATTCAACTGAAATTAGATCACGTGCCAACCGGGGCATAAACCAGCTATAAACGTAAAGGAGAAGCGCAAACTAGAAAAAAGTTGTAGTCAAAGGGTTGCTCGTGTCCTCCGAATCGTCCATTTTATATGGCCAGGGAAAATAAGGAGCTTCGATCAGTTATTTTGTGAACAAAATAGCGGTTGGTACAACCGAATAGTGATCGCCCCAGCTATAGCGAGGGTGCGGAGGCGCAAGCCTTTCGATTGGAGTGGCGGAACCTTGTACAGTATTCGGAAGGCGCGGATTGGGTCGACTTCATGCCCACTATCAACCAGACGAGCCATAACAGAGCTAGTTATAGCCCCGGTACCGCCTCAACGCCACCAGCGTGGAAGGTGATCATTAATGCGCTTTGACAAGTGCCGCGCCGTTCGACCGATGTAATTAACGCTACAGGCGCACTCGAACTGATAAATGACCATAGAAGCGGTCAGCATCTGCAACTTGTCTTTGTTGCAAATACGAATGAGGGGTACCTTTGAGAAAGTGCACTAAAGCTTACAGCTGGAAAACTTGACTTAACGGCTGTGAAAAGCTCCTGGCTACACGTACGGCGGCTGCGTCTCTTTTGAAAATTATCTTATAAATAGTTCTTTATGCTCAGCAGTTGAAACCTACACCGGGTCCAGTTTGTCTTGCAAGTACTTATGAATAAATCGAACAGGATATCCGTCTACGAGCATCACATTTTCTATGAACGTCAACTCATTATCCAACGTGTATTCAGAACAAATCTCGCGGGCCGTTGTGGTTAGAGCGAATTAGGATTCGAATATATTTCAAAAGAACGAAACTATGGAAGTTCGTATACTGGCCACTCTAGGTTTTCTTCTTGTAGACTTGTCGTTGGATCGAGCCATCTAACCTACGGGGTAACAATACATCAAGGAATGGCAACCGGTTGTTCGCTTCCTTCTGGCAGGCAAACTGCAGTGCTCCGTAGGCCTGATGAAAGTGTTCAACAACAGCGTCGAATTAGGTGGACGTATCGTACGCAACAAATATGTCATCTATTTATCGATGATAACATTGAAAGTTGGGGATCTCCGCATGTCTTTTGGTATTCTCTAATTTTGTCATGAAGGCATCACCAAGCAGCGGACCTGGTGGCCATCCCATGGCTAGATCATCTTTCTGACGTTAGTAAGTGCCATTGAATAGGAACTGTATGTTATGGGTGCTAGGCAAGGGAGACTTTTCAGATCACACAATGATAGGCCTATCGTTGTTTCTGTTTCGTTGATGCAGCTTCAAATGCAATCAATTGTTTCGAGAAGCGGGACGTTGGTGAAAAGCAAGACAACATCCAAGCAAAACACTATTTTCGTACCCATCTTGAGGTTCCTGGCGCTTTCGATGAAATGAAAAGTGTCACGAAGGCTGTATTGTGAAGTCGATGTCGTATTGGCTCAAGCATTTCCAAAAGCCATTGTGCAGCAACATGGTAGGGAGAATTAGACATTGATATAATTGGGTGAATTGGGACATCAGCGTTATGAATTTTAGGTAACACTTAAAGCCTCGGAACCTTCGTGCCACTCGGATTAAGGCTAACATAAAGTGTATTAGAGGATTATCCGCTATTCCGTAGCTATTACAAGCTTTTTGTAATCTGATTTTCGGGTCGCTTTCTTTGGTCCTTTTCTCCAATCGTTCGGGGAAATTTTGTTTCATCACTCAGAATTCTTTATAGCTTGTTTATATAGTCTTATTTGTCCAATAGAACGACCCAAATGCATTTGTCTGGTTTGCTCATTGCGCCTTAAATCCTTCAGTGTATCAAAGTGCTTGCGTGTCAGTAGACCATGATTTGCACACGGCACTTACGATACTGGTAGCGACTGTTCACCAGAGAATATTTGAAGCGTTCCAGGTCCTCATTAGACTTTGATGCTAACCGTTTTGTTTGAACAAATAGGCTTTCAAACTGTAACTCAAATTGCAGCTGTTTATCTCTGTGTCTGGGGCGCAAAATCCGAGGCAAGTGACAGAAGTCCCATTAAAATGGAGTTCAATTTCAGG